AATTTTATCTCCTGGTGACTCACAGCCTGATTGTTGTTTCTCTGTTACAGAAAATTCTACTGCTTCTGTATCCATAATACACTCTTCTATTGACTCATTGATAGGTTCTTGTTGCTCAGGTACGGAGGTGTATGGTGTATCAGAAGATTCTTGAGTTTCTGCTTCATTATCATGTTCATCTTTTTGCTTAATGTAGGATATTTCATTTTCACTTTGTGCATCTATAACACACTCTACTTCTTGTTCATAACATGTTTTTTGTTTTTCGCTTTCTGTTAATTCTACTGTTTCTGTAACTATAATTTTATCTCCTGGTGACTCACAGTCTGATTGTTGTTTCTCTGTTACAGAAAATTCTACTGCTTCTGTATCCATAATACACTCTTCTATTGACTCACTGATAGGTTCTTGTTGCTCAGGTACGGGGTTATATTGTGTTTTAGAAGATTCTTGAGTTTCAGCTTCATTATCATGTTCATCTTTTTGCTTAATGTAGGATATTTCATNTGTTTCTCTGTGACAGGAAATTCTACTGCTTCTGTATCCATAATACACTCTCCTATTGACTCACTGATAGGTTCTTGTTGCTCAGGTACGGAGGTGTATGGTATTTCAGAAGATTCTTGAGTTTCTGCTTCATTATCATGTTCATCTTTTTGCTTAATGTAGGGTATTTCATTTTCACTTTGTGCATATATAACACACTCTACTTCTTGTTCATAACATGTTTTTTGTTTTTCGCTTTCTGTCAATTCTACTGTTTCTGTAACTATAATTTTATCTCCTGGTGACTCACGCTCTGATTGTTGTTTCTCTGTTACAGAAAATTCTTCTGCTTCTGTATCTATAATACACTCTTCTATTGACTCACTGATAGGTTCTTGTTGCTCAGATACGGGGTTATATTGTGTTTTAGAAGATTCTTGAGTTTCAGCTTCATTATCATGTTCATCTTTTTGCTTAATGTAGGATATTTCATTTTCACTTTGTGCATCTATAACACACTCTACTTCTTGTTCATAACATGTTTTTTGTTTTTCGCTTTCTGTTAATTCTACTGTTTCTGTAAATACAATTTTATCTCCTGGTGACTCACAGTCTGATTGTTGTTTCTCTGTTACAGAAAATTCTAC